GTGTTTTCGGATGGTCTTAGGTGACCCCTGTGAGAGGGTCCTTTGAAATCAGAGGGGTCCTGACCCACAGGTTGAGAATCACTGGTTTAGCTCATCTGGTGGGCTTTTCTGAGGCAGCTAGTGTGTGGTTCAGGTCCTCAGGCCTACTTTTGGGAACTGTTATACTCTAACCAAAGTTCTAGAATGACCAGACAATAATATCCCAGTAAAGCACCAGACGCCTGGCACAGTTCCTGGTACTGGTCTTCAGGAGTTGGGTGCTATCTCCCGGCTTCAAGCTTTTGGGTGTAATTCTCCAAACAAAGAGCTGCCCCATCACTGGGGCTTACGAACCTTGAGTGTAGAAGAAATGCCAAATCGGTAGACAGGTGGTAACAGAAAGTTGTTTGTTCTCAGAACTGCTGTTTTCTCAGCCTTTCCTCTGGAGGTTCCTGCCCACTCAGTCACATTAGCGCTGGGTAGACAGGCTTCTACTACGGAGCTAGCGTGCGACTTGTTGTCTTCCCCCCAGAAGCTCTTAATATTGATCATTTTTTTTAAAGCCATTGGTTTCAGAGGGTAGAGTCGATTGATGTAACATGGAGGAGAGGGAATACTGTCAACAGGGTCTTTTGTTCAGTGGCATAAACACTCGGCCTCCTTCCCAGCCGGGATTGGATTTCCTTTCTAGCTGACTCTTCTCTGAGTTGGAGGCTTAGGGACTGGGTACCAAGAGCGGCGGGCCTGATGTTCCAGGCTTTGTGCGACATTGTCTCGTGACTGGGGGTGTGCCCCTCTTAGTGCCGTACCCCCGTCACCTAAGGAAGTGGTTATTTTTCTGAAGTTGGTTCTGGATGCACTTCAAATATTGGGGAGCTGGCCTGGTAGGGTTTTCCTCCATTCCAATATAGGAGATCTGGGGATTTTACTTGGGTAAACTCTTCTGGCTTCAAGTATGACAAAAGTCTCATGTATGTGTGAGTACGTATGTGTGCACATGCATGTTGAAGCCAGAGGATAATGTCAGGTGTCTGTTCCCAGACACCATCCACCTTGTCTTTTTGAGGCAGTCTCTCCTGTGCCAGTCAGCCCCAGGGAGATATGTGTGACTACTGACCCAGCACTATGGCTACAGGCATAGGTCACCAGGCTTGGCTTTTTCACAAGGGCTGTGGGTTTTAAAATCAGGTCCTCCTGTTTGCAAAGCAAGCAGTTTATCAACTGAGCATCTCCCCAGTTCGCAACAGTTTGTACAACCTGTGTCAGGTCGCTTATCTGGCTTCTCTCTGTTCCCCTTCAGAAGTACCCCTGTGGGGTTCATTCCCTCTTCCTAGTAAAGATCTGGTTGTCTGGAGTGATGCTCAAATCCCAAAGTCCAGAGCTCAGAGGCCAGTGCTGAGATGGGACTCCAGGGTGTCTTTGCTTTCCTAGTCCTTTTGCCTTCCCACTTGGCTCGTGCAGGTGTGTGTGTGTGTGTGTGTGTGTGTGTGTGTGTGTGTGTGTGTGTGCTGAGTTAGAGAACACCCTGCCCAGCACTATCATGAAATGGAGAAAAATAGGCTTACTCATAAGTACTTGTGATGACCAACACAGAACATTCTGGAAAAGTCTTTGAAGGACAGTTAGGAGATCATAAGTTCTGAGGTTCTATAGCCCAGTGGGAAGGAACTGTGAAGATGCTGGTTTTTACCACTGAGGTCTGGAGTCGATGGCCTGAGAGGGTTCACTAGTTGCCACTCCTGGGGAACTCAGGCTTTCCAGTTCAGAAGGCTCTCCGCTATGCTATGTGGACGGTGGTTTGTGATGGACAAAGAAGCACTGAAACAGAGGGGGGAAGGAACTTGCCCTGGGTCACACAGCTGTTAGAACCTGCGTTCTGTGTGATGGCAGAGGATGTCTTGTAGTCTCTGTGGAGACTGGAATGCATTGTCTGATCTGAGCACATGGTCAATTTTTCTCTTGTTCACCGTGAGGTACGACGGGAAAATATTACTGGGATGATTGCGTCCTGCAGAAATGAAGTCATGTTTTCAGAAGATGTTTATGTTCTTTAAATATCATAATAAAAGCCTCTGGATTTTTTTGGGCTGTTTCTCTTTCATATATACACATATGCACATAAGGTGAAGAAAAAAATCCATTTTTTTCTATGAAATTATAACATCGTATGAAGTGAGAGAATGATTCCATTGAAAAAAGGTTTTAGGAGCTGATTTTCACCCTCTGGAACCTACATAAGGAGAGCTGGGCAAGGTAACGTGTGTGGGCAGGGTAACATACGTGGGCATGGTAATATGCATGTGATCCCAGCGCTGGGAAGGCAGAGGCAGGAGGATCCCTGGGGCTTGCTGGCCTCCAGTCTTGCCTACTCAGCGAGTTCTAGGCCAGTGAAGACTCCATCTCTGAAAAAACTGGAGTGACGCACCAGGTGGTCCTTTGATCTCTACATGTGTGTATGTCTGCTCATATGTGCACCTATGTACACAAAAGCCGCACAGACACCCAACATTCCCATTCATTTCATTTCCATTGTCTCCACTGAAAAGAAAAACAACATTGCAAGCATTGGGATGAATGAAGGTCTTATCCCCGTTCCCTCCGCATTGCCGTCAGTGAGTCCATTGATAAAGTCCTTGCCCACACAGCTCTTTCTGACTTTTGACATATGAACGAGCAGGGAGCTGTATTACTCTTTTAGAATTGATTCATTCTAGACCTAGAAAAATCAGACATCTTGTCTGAGTTTCAGAACTAGTTGAGAGAGTAACCCAAAATAGAAGCTTTTCTCGTGAGTACTAGGTTCACTAAATTTTTACCCTCTGTTTGGCCTTTACTCAGCGGCTTCCAGCTCCCGGAACATCAGCCTGTCTGAGCTCACAGAGACATTTCTGTGGTGGTGGTGGTGGTGGTGGTGGTGGTGGTGGTGGTGGTGGTGGTGGTGGTGGTGTGTGTGTTCGGGGAGTCTGGACAAAGACACAAGACTGCGACCTTAGCTTCTAGGTCATTGCCAGCTTTCCTATTCTGACACCATTTTCTAGGTGGAAGAGAACAGGCTCATTAAAACGTGTTCGTTTTCAAAAGAAAGCAATGCAAACCCTACAGGGCTCCACTCTATGGATAAATGAGGTCACATGGGGTGTCCCAGGATCTGTTTCTCAGGCCCTGTCATGTTCTATATTAAGGTAGAGGAGCAGGCAAGCAAGCGAGTGAGTGTTCCAAATGAAGCAGTGTGTTCACTGTACAAGTCACTGATGAGAATGAAAACCTGGGTTTCCCCGTAGCACGCTATTCATAGCCATCCCGCACAACCACGAGTGATGGAATAGGGCGAGCCTCTGCAGTCTTTCATGCGGTCTGGCATGAGAGCACACCCAAGTCAAACAATGTGGAGTAAGCCTCCGCTCTGCATCGGGTAGTTTAGGCAATGACATTCTTAGCATAAATTACTGATTCTTGTCTCTTCTTCATCTTCCACCCTAACTGTTTTTATAGAATGACCTTTGGTGCTAGTATAGTTTATGGTAGGATCTTTCCCCAGTTTTTCTCTTGAACTGAATGGCCTTTTAAGTATGGTATTTATCCAAGTTTCTTTGATGAAAAGCCCATGAAATTTGTGCAGATAGCCCTGGCAGGCTCTTAGATTAGGGATAACATTTAGAAAGGGCTTCTCTGGCTTTGCGCCGTATTCTCCCATTCCGGCTCACCTGTGAGAGCTCTGTGGGTTCACCCTCCGAGGTGGGCGGGATGTGGAGAAGGTCCTGTGGTTATGAGAAGGGAACCCAGTCAGCTATCCGGGTGCTCAGGCTCACGCAGCAAGTGTAGTGTGGCACCGAGAACTGAGGTCATCTTATTACTCCCAAGTCTGATGCACACAGCACTGACTTATTGCAGTTTTCACAGGTGTCCGAAAAGGTTGAATTAAAAACATTCACTTTTTCTTAATCCAGTGAAATTCATATAATGTAAAAGTACTCCTCTTCAAATGTGAGATGTGGTAGCTTTTAGTCATTTATTGTAATCCACAATCCAAAGGAGACCCCATGCTTGCAAAACGATCATGACATTCCCGTTTCCCCCTAACGCTAGCAGCCACCAGAATTTACTTATTCTGGATACTTTAGATAAATGGAGTCATGCAAAAACATGATTTTTTTTCCTGACCAGCTGCTTTCGGATAGCAATTTTTTTTAATGCTTCAGCTACATTGTAGCATGTATCAGAACTTATTCCTTTTTATGAATGAATAATGTTTCATTCATGCATTCTACTTGTTGGTTAGTGTCACTAAGACTGCTGTGAATATTTTAGTAGTAGTATTTGAATATTTGTTTTCAGTCTTGGGGTACATGCATAGAAGTGGAATTGCTAGGTCACATGTTAATTCTGTATTTGGCCTCTGAAGATCACTGAACTGTTTTCTGCTGTGACTGTACCATGTGATGTTCCCACCAGCCACCATTTCATTGTCAACACTTTCTTCTTTGGTTTTGTTTTTCTTTTGTTTGCTTATTCCTTTTGAAACAGAGATTCTCTGTGTAGCCTTGGCTCTCCTGAAACTCACTCTGTAGACCCAGCTGGCCTCGAACTCAGAGATCTGCCTACGTCTGTCTCCTGAGTGCTGGGATTAAAGGTATGCACCACCAACACCTGGATAACACTTGATGAATTTTTATTTTTATTTATTACTATAATTGGAGTGACTGTAAAGTGGTAACTTCTTGGGAATCTTGATTTGCATTTCTGTAATGAAATATCCATATATTACTGTATAGGAACTAACCAGAAAGTAATCTTTGTTAAGGCAAAATTGACATCAAACTGATTGATTTCATCTCTTGCCAGGAGATTAAGATTGGCCTATATCCTCTCTTAGAGTGTGTGACTCTGGAAAGGACCTTTTACTTTGAGGTTAGAGACTGTCCAGTATATCTGACAAAGGACCCTTAATTGTCATTCAATGCTTTCTTTAAAACAAAACAAGTTCATTCTTGACTTAATGGTTTGCTCATTTATTTTTGCAGTGTGAGAGAAGACACTCAGGATGGCTCAGGGATCCGGGGACCAGAGAGCAGTGGGGATTGCTGATCCAGAAGAGAGTTCTCCCAACATGATTGTCTACTGCAAAGTAAGATGCTCAGAGAGCCACTGGGCATGCTGCCTCTGTGCGTCTATTGTCTGTGAGGATTGGTAGCATGAGATCGGTGCTATCTGCCCAAAGTGCTTGTAGACTAGAGAAAGGTTGTCTTCTCATTGTTTGATTCTGAAGTTCAAGGAAGTCACGTTTTCTCAAACTCGAAAACTTGGTATGAGCACTTGAAATACTTCATATCGTTTAGTCTTGTGTAAGTGTCCAGGTTGCTAGAACGATGCAGCTGAGAGTACTCCTTCGGCAGCCTTCGCAGTACAATGGGGATCTAACTGAAAGGGTTTTTGAACTCACAGTAAATGCAAGGATGATCCAGATGCTGGTGTGAGATGCAGAAGTGTGGCCGTTCAGTGCTTAATGTTGGTAGGAAACATAAGAGACTCATAGAGCACTCTCTACCATCAGAGGAGGAAGTTAGTTTCCTCAGCTACAGGCCGAGGAGTCCTTGTGGAGGAGTAGTTTCAGAGGACTCAGTTTTAAAGGACATATAGGATTGTCACCTGAGAAAAGCAGAGGGGAAAGACGCACCAGATAACGAGATCCCGGTAAAGGCACAAAGCTGGGAAACAGCCACAGGATCTGATCAGGAATGGCAGGGAGCAAAAAGAGATAAGATTGGGGCCAGAGAGATAGATGCAGCCAGATTGAAGAGTATTTATTATAGCAGTTTAATCTTGAAAACATTGTGTACTGAGAGTTGTAAAATCAATCTGTTTGGGATTCAGGGTTTTTCCACAGTGAGTCCAAAGGTACCAAGATGGGGGATGCAGATGTCCGGGGAGTATTTCTGCATCTGTAGAGGACGAGGAGGATGCGCTTCTGGCCAGCAAAGTGACCTTCAGAACAGAGAGGGACCAGTAAGATGGAGTGAAATCTGAATTATAAATAGCTTGAAAACTGAGCAATCGTGGGATGAAGAGGCGTGTGGAGGGTCAGAGATGAGTAGGTTGTGAACCTTGTATCCCGGGAAAACGTTGCTACTATCCATTCTGATTGGGACATTTAGAAGGAGATCTGGCCTGTAAGTTTTATTTTTATGTGTGTTAAATTTGAGGTACTAATTACTTTGCTTCTTTATGAAAACTTAAGCTATCCGGCATTATATATCAATAAGGAAATGAGGTGATTGTTTACTCATTCCGCTAAATACTTGAGTTGTCCGCTGGGATCTGCGCCTGCTGTCACTCCGTATTTGGTCTGTGCTAATCAGAGGGACAGTGTTGAACTAGACATTCCTGGGTGATCAATAAGGTGAAGTGCGTGTGTGTGTGTGTGTGTGTGGAAAAATAGAACTCTTATAGTACTCTTTCTTTGGGTTAAAATTCTATAATCCTTTGTTTCTCAGGAGAATATTGGGAGAGCCTATCTCTAATAAAAATAACTATTAAATTATAAATAATATAAAATTCATTAATAGAGCCAAGAGGTGATTGGTTGCTGTTACCCTTTCCACCCCAGGCAGGAGGACCCAGGGCCAGGAGGACAGGAACATGGCTTTGGAGTTGGGCTTGGGTTATAAGTCTGTCCTACAGGAAGGAGGTTGTTGTAAAAATCCATTTCAATGAACTGAGACATTTTTGTTCACCGTGGTCCATACTGTGGGCCATAGTAAGTATTTATTTCTCTTTAATTTTTAGGCCTGATAGAGATAGTGACACTTGGAGAAAGAATGAATTATAAGATATATAAATGCTTGCATTGTTAATAAGTTGAACACAGTCAATTGCTGCAGTGAGTTGCCTTTGAATACAGAAGAAAATAATACAAGGATTATTGAGGGGGCTATTTTAAAGGATTTGTTCATATTTTATTTTGTATGTATAACTGTTTTGCCTGAATGTATGTATGTACGCACCATATATGCCTGGTATCCAAGGAGCCATCATGTGGGTGCTGGGAATCAAAGCCAGGTCCTCTGGGAGGGCAGCCAGTACTCCTAATGGCTGAGCTGTCTCTTCAGCCCCAATCCACAGATGATTTAAGGTCAACAAGGACCGTGAAATGATGCCCACCTGAATGTCATCCACTAAAATGGTATTTTGAAAGTTCAAAACTAGGTACAGGTTTGTAATAAGTTTTATTTTTGCTTCATTTGTGGGAGCAGGGGCCTCTTCTGTTACCTAAAAACAAAGAAATATTTGTAGTTCTGTAGAGCAAGGACAGCCAGGAAAGGAATAAATCTTGCTGTGACTCATTCCACGAGGAGTATACATACGTTCACATAGACACTCGTGACTCGTTCCACGAGGAATATACATACGTTCACATAGACACTCGTGACTCATTTCGCAAGGAGTATACATACATTCACATAGACACTGTGTTTGGTCTCTAAGGCACTTAGCTGAATCCGTTCAGTGTCTTAAGAAGAAAGAACGCTTATTGTCCAGGCTGAGCCCCCATCTGGAACTGCCTTAAACTTATCCTAACTTGACTTTACTCAAACCCTGGCTGTGCTTGACCCTTCCCATAATCACATAGTGTTCTGCTTCCAACGCTACAGGCTACTGTTTGGTTACAACCAAGAGCTTGGCAACTGGGGCATGTTGTCAATAAAGGGTGAACCTAGGAGCTAAGGTCACATCCCAGACCTTCCCATAGGACTCCATTTGTGCGACTGTTTTTATCAAGGTTGTAGTTACATATTTAGACCTTTTCTTGGGTGTCTAGAACAGAAATTTTCTTTTCTTTCTTTATTTGGTGGTTCCTCTTGGCATAGACATTCTCGGTGTGAGACTTGCTTAGACGGTGTTGTGTTGGTCCATATGCCAACGGAGAGACTCTGGGTAAACTTCTGAGGAACAGACAAGACAAGAACATCCACAATATGGTGTTACTTTTGACTTTCTTATTTCTAACTGACACATAGTAATTGTGCAAATCCAAGAGAGCACCACGTCATTTCCGAGTTTATGCACACAGCTCAGTCATTAGCATATCGTCCCAGGCATTTACTGTTTTTTTTTTTTTTTTGCAGTGAAACATTCAAAACCTTCCCTTCCAGCTCTTGGGAGCGTTCAGGACATTGCTGCCAACTTTGGTGTTGTGGCTCTCAGACCCCATGTAGGAAGATCCTGACACATGAGTAAGCCCACACCTTTTAGAACACACTTTATTTTCTTTTCACAGTTCCTTGTCATTAGCTGTGAGAAGCTGTACTTCCCCCAAGGCATGATTTATTTATTGACTTGAACTGTCTTTCTCATTTGGTTTTTCATCTTTCCTATTCACATTTTGGATCAGAGGTGTGTATGAAAAATGTATTGGTCACATTAAAGGTCTATTTAAAAGAATACTTTAATCATTCATTAAGACACCCAGGGTTTCTTTATATCCCGAAGCCTCACGGTTCTGGGTCACTGAACTGCCGGTGTAGTGATTATACTGGAGACTAGCTGGCTGTCAAATTGCCTAGGGGTGCTTTATAAAATACACCAGCCTTCAAAGAGTGTCCAAAGAAGAACCCTCAGACACCTTACTTCAGTAAGTCTGGGATGGGTACTTGGGATATGAGTTTTAAAATGATCTCAGGAGAACTTGGTTCTCAACTGAAGCAGAAAAGCATTTATTTGGTGCTTGTTTTCCATCACCCTTCCACCCCATTGTTATATAGATATATTATGTCTTGCAAAATCATGGTAAAATTGGTGTTTAAATTTAGTTGAAATTTTCTTTTTATATTTATATATTTTTAAGTGTGTGCATGTGTGCAACTTAGGTTTCTACTCTTATGATAAAACACCATGACTGAAAGCAGCCTGGCAAGGAAAGGGTTTATTTTGCTTGCTCTTCCATATATATATTTTTTTTAATCATTGAAGGAAGTCAGGACAGGAACTCACACAGTACAGGAACCTGGAGGTAGGAGTGGATATAGAGGCCATGGAGGGTGCTGCTGCTTGGATTGCTCCTTACGGCTTGCTCAGACTGCTTTTGCATAGAATCCACGGCCAGCAGCCCAGGGATAGACCTACCCATGGGGTTCTGGGCCCTCCCACATCAGTCACTAGTTACAAAAATGCCTGACAGGCTTGCCCACGGCTGTATCTCGTGTAGGCATTTTCTCAGTTGAGGTTCCCTTATGTCATTTGTCTCTAGCTTTGGTCAAACTGAGATTAAAAACCAGCTAGTACAGTGTGTGTGTTGCACACGTGAGTGCACATGTGCGTGTATGCCATGGCACATAGTGGAAGCCAGGAGACAACTTGTGGGAGCTGGGTCTCTCTTTCCACACTCTGAGTTCCAGGGATCGAACTTAAGCTTTCAGCATTGGTGACAAACGTCCCTACCTACTAAGCCATCTTGGTGGCCCTTAATTGGCTTTTTAAATTTCATAAATCTTTGTGGATTCCTCAAGCTGTAGAAGAACCAGTCACTTGCCTTATTGTCTGGCATAAATTAGTAGTTCGCCATGGCTTAAGTAGCACCCTTCCATGGTCTCGGCCTCAGTTCCTGCATCCAGGTTGTGCCCTACTTGAGTTCCTGTCTTTATTTCCTTCTGTGATAGACTATGATGTGGAAGTGTCAGTCAAACCCTTTACTCTCCAACTTGCTTTTGGTCATAGTGTTTCATCACAGTAATAGAAATCCCAACTAGTACAGTTGTCAGCATCCTTAAACAGAAAAACCAAAGGTACCACAAGGCTGCGGAACTTGTTTGTGGTTCCTAGACAATTTCCCAGTGAAGCCATGAGTGTGTTAATGATCCCACTGGTCCAGTCAGTGTCCATTGTGGTACCTGGCAGTGCTACCATGCTCAAAGCCCCGTGTGTAATTCCCCCCATTGCTGGAGCTCAGTAGCCATCACAGTGAAGTTTAACAGTGAACGTCACAAGACAGGTCTCTGGCTTCCATGTTCATGGCAGGGACTTGACATGGCTCCTGCTGAAGCTTCCTTCTGATGCTCGTGTGTCCATGCGACTCTGGGAAGAATTTCTGACATGTTTGCTCCCTTTATAATGATCTTTTATTGAGAGAGA